CTGAAACTACTTCTGTGCGTCCAGGTCCTCCTCCCACCTAGCATCCACCACTTTGCATGGAAATGACTTCTTTAACTGACTGCCTCTCACGGCGTCTTGTGAATTCATGAGAGAGACCATATCCGTTACCTCTGTGTGTCCTCACCCCTGGGGATAGGAGCCACCCAAGAACTAACTGCTGAAAACTAATCAAAACACACCCCTTTCCCTTAGGCAAGTGTTCTACACAACCACTGTTTAACTAGCCAACTTCCACCTGCCTCTAAAGACTTTGAAGAGTCCCATGTGGCCTCTGAGATTCCATCTCTCGCAAAGCCTCGTGGTTTTTCTTATTAGCTAATGTTTACCATTTGGAGAGGCCTGGGGGCAGGGGCTAAGAAATTTTTGGGCAAAATTCTTAAGCTACAAATTAGCCACAGGCCAAGACTTGAGTTGTGTTTGGTGTGTGAGATGAACTGAGGGTAGAGGCGGGTGGAGGTGGTAGGCAGAGAGGAGGGGCAGGGCCAGAAGCTTCTTGCTAAAAAAATGACTTGAAGGCAAGACCCCAGGCTGCCCACAGAGCCATGAACTGGCATCCCTCCCCACCCGTGCAGTGTCAATTCTGTACCGTGATCCCAGCTTTGCTGTGTGGAAAAGCGTCCCATACACCCACTCGCTGAAAGCATGTGGCCTGCGAAAGGAATCACAAGCCAGTATAGCCACACGCTGCCCTCCCGGAATATGAGAACTCTCTCTAAATCTGATGTGCAGTCCAGAGGTTTCTGTAAGTTCCTTTATTAATAAAGCAAAGTATGAAAGAACAAGGTCCCCAATGACCCATATGATTAAAAGTGCAAATTTACTTCAACCTGAAATAGAAAACAAATGGCTGGCCTTGACTGTTTGGGCCATGGAAATTTGGTGTGATTAAAGCACCTTTTAATCACACAACTGTAGCAGCTGAACCATATTTGATCACCTCTTTGGTCTCTGTTATTGGAACAAAACATATGCTATGACTGCAGCCGATAGACAGCATCATAATACACAGTTTAGGGTCAAAATCCACACTAAAAATAACAGTAAAATAAGAGGAATGTTTTAAAGTCAAGTGATTGAATCAAGGCACTTAAAAAAAAAAAGTAAACGGTGCTCACAATATTCCTGAATATCTGATGCTTAAAAAATGAGATTACATGTAATTTAGCTGCATGTTTTAGTCCAATCTCTCTGTACAGATGATCACATATATCTTCATCCTCTCCCAATTTATACTTGCTTTATTCCCACCAAATCATGTGCTATGAAAGTATAAAAAAAAAAAATAAACAGTAGTGTCTAAGAAACAGACAAGCCATTTTTTCAAAAAAATTAACAAACGCCACAATGATAACACTGAACTTTTTTCCCTCCCAAAAGATATTGGAAATGTCCGTGAAGTTTATTTTCCCACCACTGGGGAGGGATAATAATAATCTTCCTCCCTGTGTATATGATAAATTAAATCATCATTAAGGTCAAAAACCACATTTTATAGAAAAAGTGACTTACTTCTTGAGGTTAAAGGAAACACTTTGGAAGGCTATTAGTTTAATTCATCCAGCTAGGATGTCAGTTTTGGTGGGAGCCACTGAGTCAGAAAGAGAAACATCTGGTCAGAACAGTGCTCTTAACAGTGGGACTGGTAACAAGCCTAAGAAGCTTGGCAGGGAGGCCCCCGCATATTTTTCTGGTGTTCACGGCCACCAACTATCATCCCAAAGGCTAGGAAACTACTAAAAAACAATACTTAATTTAAAAATAAGAATAACACATAAATAAAGAAGAAACAAGTTATTTTACAATCCTTCCTGATTACTCATCTGCAGACTCTGATAGAGCCAAGGAATTCAGGCCCAACTCACCATGAAGGAAATGCTAAGAGCTGGCCCCCAGGGGCCTGATGTCCAGTCTGTCTCTTTCGGCTCTAGGATGGAGAATCCTCCTGGGAATTGTAAGTTAAGTGTTATCTGTGGCCGTGTTAATTTGGGGGGTTTGTTTCTACAATAAAGCTTAGTTCTGAGAGAGAAAATAGACTTGAAATATCACACCCCCAACCACATATTACAACGTCATACCCATAACAATAAATATAACCTTATTCATACTTGAGGGGTTAACTGTGTAAGGCAGGGGTCGCAAACTGGTAGCCCCCAGGCGCATCCAAATGTATTTTTGGCCCACATGTGTTTTGGATTTTTTTAATTATGTTGTTTAAAAATCAGAAAGCTTCCTTTTTAAAAAGCAATCCTGACTTTTTATTTCCAGCCCCACCTTACCCTCTTCCCTGCATAGAACTGAGCAATGTGCCCCCTGAAGATGGGCAGAGTACCCCCACCACCACCCACCCCTCCCCTATTTACCTCCCTGTCTTGCTTCTGCAGGCTGCTGAGTTTGCGACCCCTGGTTTGAAATAGCACATATCTAAACAACGTGTTTCCTAACCCAAACCTCTCTCACACCCTCATGTGATTTCACGCCATGGAGTGAAATCTTCTGCCCAGCTCTTCCTTTCACATCCATCTTAAGTCCTCCTTCCTGAAATTTTCAGATTTCTCTTCGTTCACTCACATTTTCCCTTCTTTCAGCTTCAGTTTCATTTTGCAAAAAAAAAAAAAATCTCCATCTCTCAGCCCACAAGCATTTCGACACGGCTCCCAAGACTGGTCAGTGGGAGTTACCGAAGTGTGTCTTACGGCAAAAAGGCTGAGTCATCTCCCCAAAACATTATCTTCAGACACTGGCTGGACAGTTAATCTTTTTTTTCAAAGCATGAACAATTTTGAGCCTTCTGGAATGAGAATATTTGCATATATGAATCTCCAGTACCAAGTATACACCAAAAATATACATATTTCAGATCAAGGACATGATGGAGCCCAAATAAAATACAGAATTGAGCTTAATTTAAGTGCCATGGGCAACCATCACACCTGGCTAATATGCCATATTATTTCGTTTGTACACAGTACATGTTTTGGATTACTAAACATTGATCAAAATTGATCGAAATCTCCAAGTTTTTGGTTACCATGTACAGAGAACAATTGCTCAGCATGGCATTTAAATAAAACATTAATAGTTTAAAAATTCACAAACAAAATGCCCCATTAAAAAAAAAAATTTAAAAATCTTGAGGATGGATGAGGCTTTGGGTAATTAACCTAAAAAAAAAATAAACTACAAGAACAGTAAGTATGTTACTAGATTCAAACATCAAAATGCTATTCAGATAAGAAAGGAACCTATCAACTTAACTAAAAATATTTGGAAAATTCAGCTTTTAAAGCTTTATAATCCCCCCCAATAGCCTCGCTTTCCCCTATCCCAACTATAGGGGAAATTGTAGCTGAGTATGGAAACATTATAAATATATATTTATATAAAGATCTACTTACTCTTGGAATTTATTTAAAAAGTATATTTTAAAAAAACACTGTGCAGTTTATATCTTTGCAGGAAGTTGGTAGACTGATTCCTTTGCTAAATGCAGTACCTTCCGACCTAACACTGACCTCAAAAACTAGGAAAGACTTTGTGGTATCGAGGGGAAATGTCCCCAGTGCAACCCCAAAGAGTCAGCACAACATTTGCAACTGATTCTCTTGCAGTCCAAGATTGCAAAGGACTAAGAAGTCTCGGCAGTTCTGATGAGAAGGATTCCCTATAAATCATCTATTCACAACAATTTCCCTACAGTGGCCAAGTAGGGCCCCTAAAAAGTTTTAAACATTCCCTTCAAATAGCTCAGAAATTAAACAATGGCCTAATTCATGTGACTACTTCTGTCTTCCAAGTTTTACCTTTAAAAGTCTGTTATTAAAAAAAAAAAAAAGTTAAAAAAAAACCCTTAACGTATATCACTGGGACTGTATTTTCTATTCAGCAGATGATGGCCCATTCTAAGCTACAAGTGAGTTTTATGTTGACTGATACAATTGAGAGCTATTAGAAAATTGGGAGGACAGAGGGATTTCAGAATGAATGAGCTGCAAAATACACTCAGCCTGGTGATGTTTATGCCCAAAGAAAAGAAAGCTTAAACAGCTGACAAGGGCTGTCTCCCTCCATCTCCCCGTAACTTGCCATCCTTCGCTGTCTTTCTCCTCTGTCGATGGACTGGGAAATAACTGATCTTTAAGCACAGAGCCCAGAGATGCTGAACTCTAAGCGAAATGCATAGAAAGACCTGTGCTGAACCAACTGCTTCTCAAAGGTGGCCTTTGGGCTGCTAAAAGGCTGCGTGGGCAATCAGAGCAAAAACGTCCCAACCAGGAAGGATCACTGAGATTGGCCGAGAGCAGGCATTGCCTCTTCACTATCTCATTAAACTCATAAAGAAAAGGAGTTTGCTAAAAAGACTTTAAAACAAAATGAACAAACAAAAAAGGTTTCTCTCTCTAGCCAGCAGCAAGCCCTGGCGAGACACCTTGCTAGGCAAAGAGTGAGCTTCATCTTTTTCGAGACTCAACATGTTTTCTGCCCTCACCAGTGTTGTCTGAAGCATTGTCACTCTGCAGTGAGCGTGGCTCACAGCAGGTGCTGATGAGTGCTCATCCCGGAGCCTGCCTGGAGGGGTATTGAGCAAGCCTGCTCTTCAAGACTGCACCTCTCTTCATAGCAAATGTAACTGGCCTCCCTTTCAGATGCCACATGTGGCACTAGCAATTACCACAAAATGAAAGAACTGATCAATAAAGTGCTGTTTGCTCTGAAAGTTTCACTAACCAACTCTTGACTGCTGCTCAGCACCTGTGACTTAATTCTTCACAATCCTGTCAAACAGTCTTGATGGGACCCTTTAAAAATACATTAATATTTATCTGAACAGTGGAAACTCTGTACTTCAGAACATGAGCCCCTGCAATAGAATTACAGTTCCAGTTGTAGAGAAAGGTTCAGATTTTTAAAAAGACAATCATGAAACCAGGACCTACCAAGTAGTTATGTCAAAAAACATTAGCTTCTTTAAATCTGGGGGGGGGGGGGGGGTAGAGATCTAAACAACTGGCAGAGGGAATTTTTCTGCAGCTAGTTCTTGCTTTAGTGAACCTCCCTAAAAGCTAAATCCTTCTACAGAATCATTCCACACAAACCAACATTTAGACCAACTCTCAGTTGCCGATGGTGGCTGTCTTTCCATAGCTCGTCCAGGACACTCTAGTGGGTGTGAAGATGCCATGATTATCTGGATGGTGGAGCCGGGGTGATGTTGAAGCCGCTAATGCCACGTTCTGAATATTCCAACCCCTTCTGCAGGTCATCTTCCTTGCCATCCCCGCCCCACCTGTGGAGTGGGGCTGCAGGAGCACTGGACCAGGTGGGGTCTCAACAGGGTTTATGGTTCATCTTCAGGGAACCCTTGGGTGCGCTGACTCCGGGGTGGCGGACATCTGACAAGGTAGCGGGGACCGCCATAGGCGCGGAGAAGCTGGGGCAGCCTTCGCCACGTGGACAGCAACCGCGCCGCCGCGAGTTCCCGAACCTGCCGGTCGAACGCCGCCAGGAGGTCAACTGGGGCAGCTTCACGCAGTACCTTGGGTAGCGGGCCCACCTCGGCGGCCGCCCCTCCAGGGCCCAGGACGCAGTGGAAGAGCGTCCGGCGTCGCAGCAGGCAGTCCCGGAGGAACTGCACTAGCTCCTCCAGGCACTCGCCCAGGTGCGCCTCGTCCCAGCCTGGTGCCGGAGCCCCCTCGCGCTGCAGCACCGCCAGCAGCGCCGACTTGAGCACGTACGACGAGAGGATGCGTCCCCACTGCGCGGCGGCCGTCGGGTCCAGCCCGCGGGCGCCCAGGTCTCGCAGAGCTTTAAGCAACTGCAGGCACTTGAGGTAGCAGGCACCTGGAGGGGCCCTTTCCTGCAGCCAGCTCAGCAGCTTCTGCTCCTGGCGCGCTGTGTTCACCCCCCACAGGGCATCGCCACGCAGGCCTCCCGGGAGCTCCGACAGGGGCCCGGCAGGTGAGGGCGGCGGCGGTGGCGCCACCAGGAAGACGCTGTCGCCCAAATGGACGGCAGGGATGAGTCGCACGGCCATGGAAAGGCGGCAGCAGCCGTAATCGGTGCGGCAGGGCAAGATGTGTAGGGTGGGCGGCTGCTCTAGACCGCCCGGGGTCAGACTGACCCGACAACGCCCCTCCAGGCTGTAGCGCACGGTGGCCAGGGAGCGCTGCAGGTGCGCCTGGAACCAGCGCAGTACCAGCGTGGCCGAGAGGAGGCGCCGCCCGCGGACATCCACGCAGAAGCCGTCGGAGAAGGGTTTGCAGTCCCGGAGCCAGTGGCCGCCGGAAGCCCCTGGCGGCGCCTTGAGCGCACACACGAAGCAGCCGTGGAAGGCTGGAGCCAGCTCGGGCTCCGCGCCCAGGCTCCGCGGCTCCAGCGCCACCAGGGGAGGCAGGCGCAGCGGCACGAGCACGTCAAAGCCGTCGGGCCGGCGGATTTTATGCTGCTCGTAGGCGCTCCCTACCTGGATGAAGTCTCCTCGGAAAGCCAAGGCCAGCGCTCCCCCGGGGATGGGGCCTGGGGACCCTCGGGCACGGCCAGCCCGCACCAGCTCGCCGACGATGCGGCTCACGTGGGCCTTGCTGTGGCCCAGCACGTGCGGCGACAGGCGCACCTCGTGCTCGTAGTAACTCTCCAGCAAGATGTCTAGGCTGGGCTCGGGGAAGTGTTTAGACGAAAAGGCGGAGTGGCCCCCCAGGCGGGGAGGCCCGGGCAGAAAGCGCTGCCGGACAGCGTGGCGACAGCGCAGGAGGATGTAGCCAAGGAGAAGGAGGACCACCACCTTGAGCAGCGGGAAGCCGCCGTCCGCGCCGTCGGGGGGCTCGGTTCGGGCGCCCCCGTTTCCCCGCAGGACATGGTAGAGGCACACGAGGGCGGTGCACAGGCCGGTCACCAGGGGCCANTTCCGAGGGGAGGCGAGACCGCGCCAGCTAGCGGGGAGGAAATGCCGGAGTCTGGAAGCCGCGCGCCGAGCCGGCGGGCGGGGTCGGCCCCCTCCCGGGCCTCCGCCTTCGAGCGACGCGGGGCGGCGGGAGGGACTTCAGGACGCGCTGGCAACTGGCCTCCCCGGGCCTCCCTCCCCGAAGGCAGATAGGAAGGCTCTGATTGCGGGGCGGTGGCCTGTCCAGGAGCTTTCTGGAGTTGTGTTCACACAGAGTTGCACTCAGACGTTGAAAGGAAGGAGGGCGAGAGGGCGCAGAGGAGCCGGTCCACCGCCCGCCCTCCCCCCGAAACCGCCCCCCTCACCCCAGCAAGCCGCGGCGGCGGGGTGTTGGCGGCGTGGCAGGTCCTGGAGCGGAAGCGGCCCCTGCCCGGGTGCCGCCGTCCTTTATTCAAACCGATACCTACGGAGCACCTACTGTGTGCCCGGCAGACCAGGGGCTGGTCAAACGGCAGTTGGCGAAATCGACCAGGCTAATGATGCCCTTCCTAAAGCTTAACGGCCTTTAAAAAAGAGGAAAGCAAAAAAAAAAAAAAAAAGAGTCCCACAGCAGAAAAATGCTCTGAAAAGGAATAAAACTGTGTGAGGAAGTGACAAGGTGGGGGCTGCCCGGCGGAAGCTGGAGGCTCTCCGTGGGGGTGACGGTGGGTCCCCGAGACCCGGAATTGAGGGGGAGCCAGCCTTGGAGGGACAATCACAGCCTTTACACAGGTCACACACACTGGCTCCTCACGTCCTCCTGGGAAAGGGGCCCTATTATTTGCCGCATTTTTCAGATGAGGAAACGGGCACAGACAAGGTCAGCCCTTGCCCAGGGTCACACAGCTTTCAGCAGAGCTGGGCTTTGAACATCGGCACCTGGCTCCAGGGAAGCAGGGTCTTTTGTCAGGGCCTACGCTGGGCCCCCAGCCCAGGATTCCTTGCTTTGTTTCATAACAGAGAGCATTCCCTGGTGTTATCAGCGTTTATTTAATTATCTGAATTTGTAATCTTTAAACAATTAACTTATTTACACTCATTGCACCTTCCTTGTTCCCACCACCAGTAAAGGAGAGCAAGGGTATAGATATTAAAAATGTCAGAACTCAAAAGTCATCGGGAATCAGGACTCAGGGGATGACGGTTCCTGACTTAAGCCTCCCAAGATTACTCCCAGGAAAGCCTGTCAGAGCTAAGCAGAACTGTACTCAGATACCTGTCTCCACCTCCTATTCACATTAACCAAAGTCTATCAAGTCAGGAGTCTTTGAGTTGCAAGTGACAGACATGCAGCTTCAAAAGCATTTATTGTCCGTTTATTGTCAGGTTAATTGAGACATCCTTTAAGATCCTAGAATACTTCAGTATGGCTGGATCTAGGTTTGCTCAAACCACTTCTTAGCTCTGCTTTCTTCTAAGTGGGCTGCACTCTGTGCCAATCGGCCTTGAGAGGCCCCTGGCTGCTCTAACCTGACCTTTTCCTCAATGCAAAGGAAAAGAAGGTTTTAGTTGCTTGAAAGTTGCAGCAAATGTCATGCCTAGGGATACCCCTGAGTCCTATGCTAGAAGTGACCAAGTAAGAGAATGCAGTGGTAAAGAATCCGCCTGCCAAGGAGATGCCAGAGATGCAGGTTCCATCTCTTGGACGGGAAGATCCCCTGGAGGAGGAAATGGCAACTCACTCCTGTATTCTTGCCTGGGAACTTCTATGGACAGAGGAGCCTGGCGGGCTACAACCCATGAGGTTGCTAGAGTCAGGCACCACTGAGCGATTGTGCAGATACACAGAAGAGAAGGCAATGATTAACCTGGTCTGGGGTGCTGCCATAGACTGAAATGAGTCTCCTCAAAATTCATACGTTGAAGCCCCTTTTCCCCTCAATTAAGTTCATATTCACAGGTTTCAGGGTTAGAATGTGGACGAGTCTTTTGGGGGTGCCACCCTCAGTAAATGATGTACTCTATTACTGATTTGTGTGTGTGTGTTAAGTCACTTGGTCGTGTCTGACTCCTATAGACTGTAGCCCGCCAGGCTTCTCGGTCCGTGGGATTTAACTGGCAAGAATACTGGAGTGGGTTGCCATTTCCTCCTCCAGGGGATCTTCCCACATACAGAGAACGAACCCATGTCTCCCTCGTCCCCTCCATTGTAGGATATTACCATTACTATCATCTTTTCTGCCTATAATCAGTTTCCATAGCTCATTTCCTCCAGAGAGTTCAAGGTACAGACTTTGGAACTTTGCCCTTGGAAAAATCTACCGCATGTTTTTGATCAAGTACAAATTCACTTTTTCCTTAATTTGTTACCCAACATACAATGTCCCAGGCAGAGGGGGATGTGCAGTAAAAGATCAGGGGCTCTCTACTTACAGACTAAAATGCCACATAGTGTGGGTGGATTCAGAAAACTGCCACTGTTTCATTGACTTTTGACCATTATTTCATTAAAAATCTTTAATGTTTAATATTTGACAAAGGCCGCTCTTGGGTTTTTTTTTTTTTTTAATGCTCAGCGAATATATATATACACAGCCCTCCCAACATTTCTGATTCCCCAGAGGTGTGTCCTGCAAAGAAAGAAAGTCAGCGACTCACTTCCCAGGGAGGGTCCAGAGAAGGCACCTGGGGAGGAGGGTGACACCCTATCAGGCTTTGGTGGATGGGAAAGGACAGCATGTTTGGTAGTGTATCTGATGTTTCTGCTGCAGACATTTTTATTGCATAACTAATTGGCCTTCAGGCAATGTTGCTGTAAAAGATAAAATGGTGAAAAATAAAAAAGGGGCATTCAAAAGGAAATAATGAAACATGAGAAATAAATAACAAAATTAAAAAGACTTTATTGCAAAATACAAATGTATTTGAATGTATTTAAAATGTGTGTCAATTTATGGCAATACTTCACAGCTAATTGATTCTGTTTGGTCGATGGTACCTAAAATCACTGCAGATGCAGCCATGAAATTAAAAGATGCTTGCTCCTTGGAAGAAAAGTTATGACCAACCTAGACAGCATATTAAAAAGCAGAAACATTACTTCCAACAAAGGTCCATCTAGTCAAAGCTATGGTTTTTCCAGTAGTCATATATGGATATGAGAGTTGGACTATAAAGAAAGCTGAGCACTGAAAAATTGACGCTTTTGAACTGTGGTGTTGGAGAAGACTCTTGAGAGTCCCCTGGACAGCACGGAGATCAAGCCAGTCAATCCTAAAGGGAATCAATTTGAATATTCATTGGAAGGACTGATGCTGAAGCTGAAACTCCAATACTCTGGCCACCTGATGTGAAGAACTGACTCATTTGAAAAGACCCTGATGCTGGGAAAGATTGAAGGCGGAAGGAGAAAGGGATGACAGAGGATGAGATGGTTGGATGGCATCACCGACTCAATGGACATGAGTTTGAGTAAACTCCAGGAGTTGGTGATGGACAGGGAGTCCTGGCATGCTTCAGTTCACGGGGTCGCAAAGAATTGGACACGACTGAGTGACTGAACTGAGCTGAAGCACTTGTCCTCCAAATCTTTTGTTCTTAGTATTTTAAGGTATCTTTTGCTTTTGTCTCATCTGCCTATTCAGCTTTGCTTTCTCTCTAAAATTTCTTCTGTCTTTAAGAGAGGCATCAGCTTCCAAATACTAGGATGCATATTTGTACCTGAGATTTGTATCGTGTTGGGAAAGTTGTTTATTCTTGGCAGGTTGTCACATGTCCCCTGATAGACGTTCCAAAGTTCTGTGGAGGGTGTGGGTTCAATTCTGTGCCTTCAAATCACCAAAGGGTTTGCAGACTGACATGTTATCATATTCTAGTACAGTATAGTGGTTTAGTTGCTAAGTCGTGTCCAACTCTTGAGACTCCATGGACTATAGCCCGCCAGGCTCGTTTGTCGATGGGATTTCCCAGACAAGATTATTAGAGTGGGTTGCCATTTCCTTCTCCAGGGATCTTCCCAACCCAGGGATTGAACCTGGGTCTCCTGCATTGCAGGCCAAGTCTTTAGCAACTGAGTCATATAGTATGTGCTCTGACTTACTCTCTTACTTCACACTTGCAGTAAATTTTATCACCATATTTTCCATCAAGTCCATATACATAGTTGTTATCATCCTCTATTTTAAGGCCACCATGCCTACTCATCACTGTACAGGTCATCATGAGGGCTGAGATAGATGGGATGGAAGAATGAGAGCCCTATGTCAATGGAGATATGAAACCAAACTGTCAACCAGTTGAAAGCCAACTCTCAAACCCAACTGTCAACCAGTTATTTTATCTTTTACAGCAAAATTGCCTCATGACCAATTAATTTTGCAGTGAAAATGCTTGTGGAAAGGATGTCTATGCAAAGATGCTTGAGGTATGAGTGTCCAGAGCCCTTTGATAAATACCACGTGCCTCCTGGACTCGACTCTTGCCCTGTGAATTCTGCAGAGAAGCTCAGAACCAGCCCAGCTATCAATGCCATTTCACGTATGGGCAGAGCGAGTCAGCGACAGGATGAGAAAGTCACACTGCTGGCAAGGCTGACTCCGGAGCTGGACTCTGAACCCCTCTGCTTCACTCCCTTTCACATTGTAAAAGGTTTTACAGGCACACGTTTTATGGCACTTTGCTTTACTCTGCCTCAGGGATATTGGGGGTTTTTTTGGTTTGTTTTTTAATAAATTGAATGTTTGTGGTCACCCTGTGAGCAAGTTTATCAGCGCCATTTCTTTTCAACAGCATTTTCTCACTTGGTATCTCTGTCACATGTTGGTAAGTATCATAATATCTCAAGCTGTATTATTACTATTATATTTGTTATGGTGATCTGTGATCCGTTAACTTTGATGTTACTCCTTTGACTCAGTGAAGGCTAGGATGATGATCAGCATTTCTTAACAATGAAGTGTTTTTAAGTTACGGTGTGTACATTGTTTATTTAGACATAATGTCATCACATACTTAATAGGCTACAGTGTAGTGTGAACATAACTTTTATGTGCACTGGGATAGCAAAAATAGTTTTGTGACTCACTTGATTGTGATATTTGCTTTATTGCAGTGGGCTGGAACTGAACCTGCAATATCTCTCGGGTGTGTCTGTTGGCACAGAAAGGGCACATTCTGGGAAGGCAGGTTAATTTATGTTTGTCTTCAGTTGCCAAGTGATGAGATTCTTGGGGGCAGGGACTTTGCCACATTCATCTGGTATCCCATCACCTGACATCATGCCTGCTGCTTTCTAGAGCTTTATAGGAGGAAGGAAGGAGGGAAGAAAGGATGGGAGGAAAGAAATAAGGAAGGAGGGAAGGGAGGGAGAGAAGGAGGGAAGGAAGGGGATTTTGAGCAGCAAGAACTCAGGGAGGCCATTCCAGGTAGTGGAAACAAAATGCACAAATGCTCAAGGAGTGTGTGACAGCCAGGGGAATAGGACATCAGATGTTGTCACGAATTCTGGAGTTTGTGACTCTTG